AGGAGTACCTATGAGGACGCGTCCTGGATTGGCATGAGGAGATGGTAGTAGCCTTGAGAGATTGGTTAGAAGCAGGAGGACTGACCAAAGAAGCAAATATATATCAGGCATGGGAGCCTGGTTAATCACTGTATTACAAAAAAATTGTGATACAGAAAGGGAAGAAACTAGAATTCTCTGTCAATATCTCTGAGATAGGCCAGGATCAGTGACATCTCTATAGCAATGAGAGTACTTAGCACCAATGTCTTTTTTTTTTTTAAGATTTATTTTATTTATTTGAAAGCATCACAGAGGTATAGAGAGAGAGGGAGAGAGGTCTTCCATCCACTGGTTCACTCGTCAAATGGCTACAATGGCCAGAGCTGAGCTGATCTGAAGCCAGGAGCTAGGAATGTCCTCTGGGTCTCCCACATGAGTGCAGGGGCCCAAGGACTTGGGCCATCCTCTGCTGCTTTCCCAGGGGCGTTAGCAGCGAGCTGGATCAGAAGTGGAGCAGCCAGGACTTGAACTGGCGCCCAGGGTTTTAGCCAACTGTTCCCCAGAGCCAGTCCCCCAGTCTTGTTTTTTAAATACGATTCTACACTAAAAGGAACTGGGGTTCTTTTGGGAAATGGATTATTCCAAGACTGGGATGGGGAACGATGAATCTGCCCCATTTTTTATAGCAAAATAATAAAGTGCTCAAAGAATGACAGGGATTTGTTGAAAGGATGCAGACAAGGGGAGCGTCACAAAGAACAATGGTGGTGGTGAATCAGAATCCAAGGAATAAAATAAGCAATCATGAATCCACTCTGAAATTAATCAATTAGTTAAAATCATTTACTATGGGATGAGATTTTTACACAAGTTACAAGGTTTTTTTCTCCCCACAAAATACCAATAACTGGAAAAAGTAATTCTACAAAGGAAAACTCCTTAACCAAGTGAGCTAAACGAGCATCAGTCATGAGACGACTCCCAGCTGTGGCCTTGCGAATGTGGCCAAGAGGAAACAAACACGAGTGAGGGGTCTGGAACTGCCCGCTGCCCTTGGGAAGGACTGAGGCTGTGTGAGAGTCCCAGGACCATAGAGACGGCGCTCTAGCCTGAAGGAGACCAGAAAACCCCAAAAGCAAGTGTCATGGGCGATTCTGGAATGGCTTTTTGCCAAACAGACACTGCTGGAACGACTGGTGAACCTTGAATGTTTGAGGATTAACTAGACGTGAATGTTCTGGTCTGCTCCTGGTGGTCCTGTTACGGTTTTGCAGAATGCCTTCGTGTGTAGGAACGACACTGGGACGGATCTGGAGGCAGGTAGCCTGTCAGCTATGCACTCTCAAATGGTTCAGGTTGTGCTGTGCTTCGAACTCCCCTGTAAGCCCGAGATTGTTTCAAAAGGAAGAGCCATCCAACCTTTAGGGGGTTACTTAGAACACTAGGTGGTAGGCACATTACAGTAAGAAAGTTTTGTTCTTTTTGGCCGTTCGCCTGCATTGCTGCCCTGGTGCCTAATCACCAGTGAGGGCTCCACGTTCAGGCTTCCTCTGGAAACAAACCCTCTGCTCTTTGGTTCCTGTTTAGGCCTTGGGGCCTGTTTGTAAGCTCAATACAGGGTGGACTCCATAGCCAATGTGGCCAGGATTTCTCTAAGGCTTTTCTAAATTTTAATTTGATTTTTTAGAAATTTTATTTAAGGTATGCAGGTTTCATGTATTTCATATACACAGATTTAGGAACATAGTGATAATTCCCACCCCACTTTGCCTCCCGCCCCCACTCCCACTCTTCTTCCTCCTCCCTCTCCTATTCCCGCTCTTAATTTTTACAAAGACTTATTTTCAGTTTATTTAATGATTGCAAGGTTAACCCTATGCTATAAAGAATTCAACTAATAATATGAAGGAAAAAAACACTTTCTCAGCAGAAGATACAAGGACTGTAAACAATCATTGAATTTTCAAAATGTCCATTTCACTCCAATACATTACATTTTAGGTACTCTGTTACCCCACATCAGGGAAAATGTATGATGTATCTTTTTGAGACTGGCTTCTTTCATTAAGTATAGTGGTTTTTAGTTGTATCCATTTTGTTGAAAAAGACAGGGCTGCATTTTTTTAATTTTACAGCTGAGTAGTACTCCACAGTGTATATATACCATAATTTTTGTCCAGTCCTCAGTTGATGGACATTGGGGTTGATTCCATATCTTAGTTATTGTGAATTGAGCTGCAGCGAACATGGGGGTACAGATAGCTCTTTCATGCGCTGATTTCTTTTCGTTTGGATAAATTCCCAGGAGTGGGATGGCTGGGTCGGATGGTAGGTCTGTATTCAGATTTCTGAGGTATCGCATACTGTCTTCCACAGTGCCTGGACCAATTTACTTTCCCACCAACAGTGGATTCGGGTACCTTTTCCCCCACACCCTCACCTGCATTTGTTGTTTGTTGATTTCTGTATGTGGCCCATTCTAACTGGGGTGAGGTGAGACCTCATTGTGGTTTTATTTGCATTTCCCTCATGGCTAGTGGTCCTGAGCATTTTTTCAAATGTCTATTGACCATTTGAATTTCCTCTCTTGAAAAATGCCTGCTCATTTCTTAACTGGGTTGTTTGTTTTGCTGCTGTTCAGTTTCCTGAGCTCTTTCTAGATTCTGGATATTGACCCTGTGCCAGCTGTGTAGTTGGCATCTATCTTCTCGCATTCTGACTTGGGCAGGAGAGGGGGTGCGTGTGGCCCTGCGGATGTTGCTGTTTGCTGAGGAGGAGGAGGAGGGAGGGAATTACAAACGAAAAGAGAAATTCCAAACAAAAGGCTGAGGGCCTGAATGTGGGGCTCCTTCAGAGTTCGGAGGGGACCTGAGAGTACCACTGGGCAGCGCAGACCGGATGGGAAGGGCCCGTCAGGTTGTGCCAGTGAAAAAAGGAAACAGACACAAAGCAGACAGCAGCACCTCTGCGCTCTCTGGGGAGCCTGGACTGTATTCTGGTGCCCCGAGACATCAGCGGAGGGTCTGCTGGAGTGGCACAGTGTCCCCCCACGGCACGGATTCGGATTCGGATTCTTTTGTTGTTGTTGTTAGGATTTCTTTATTTGAAAGGCATAGTGACAGAGAGGGACAGAGATCTTCTGTCTGCTGGTTCACTCTGCAAATGGCCACAAAGCCAAAACCAGGAGCCTAGAACTCCATGCAGGTACTCGGGCCGCCGTCCACTGCCTTCCAAGTGCATTAACAGGGAGCTGGCTGAGAAGCCGAGGAGCAGGGTTGTTCCAGTGTAGGATACTGGTGTTGCAAGCAACAGCTGAACCCACTGAATCAGGATGGCAGCTCTGGGGATGCTGAGACGGAGATTCCGAGCGGTGGGAAGAGAGCGAGCCCTGTGTGCTGGGAGACGTCTCGCTCTCTGATCAAACGCAACCTCCTCCTCTCCTGCCTCTCCACCCAACAGCGCGCCCAGGTATTCTATGCTCTGAACTTGTCCTCACAGTAATTCACAAAGCTTTTACTTATGTTTATTATCTATATCCGCTCCCTGGCACTTAAGCTCTATAGTAAGGAAGGGTGCTAAAGTTTTAAAATCCACACAGTTTTTCATAGTATGCACTTTCCCCTGAATGTTTAGAACACCCTCGTACCAACCTGCTGCAAATCTTGGTCCCAAGAACTCGGGAACCCACAAAGCTGGGTTCTGTGCAAGGGTCCCTGGCAGCCCAGGTGAGTGATGGTGAGAAGTCCCGGAGGCCCTCTGGAGAGAAGAGCTTTTCCACAGCCTGCAAATGCTTCCCCTTGCAATCGCACGCCTGTTCCCCAGAGCCGGCTTTCTAACGGGCGGGCAGGGCTGAGCCCCGGGTCTGATGGGTGGTTGCTGGAGCCTAGCCAAGGACTTCACAGGGGAAACAGGAGGAAGCAAAGAGGCGTACGGAATCCTAACTGTGCCTCTGTGATTTGGATGCCCACGAACCTCAAAAGGGCAGGCCTCGCCATCCCGAGCTCAGCGGCCTCATGAGGGCTCAGCCTTAGCATACCACCTTCTCTCTCACTGCACCTTCCAAACTCAGCTCCAAAAGGACACACGAGGCAGTCAGGACACAGCGGTACCTTCAGGTCCTGGGACACAGGGTGTCTACACCTTCATCTGGGGCAGGTCCTGGGACATAGGCTGTCTGTGCTGTGGAGAGGGGGCAGGTCCTGGGACATAGGCTGTCTGCACCTTCATCTGGGGCAGGTCCTGGGACATCGGCTGTCTGTGCTGTGGAGAGGGGCGTCTGGGAATTTCTCAGAGTGCTGGCTGATGAGTCAGGTCCTCAGCTTTCCCACGTCATGAGGCCAGAGGTTGCCTCCGGTCATAAGACAAAGTCAGACCTCAGCTGTCTGGGAACTGACAGATGAAGCAGCCTTGTCTCTGTATTTCTATTTGAGAAGCAACAAATCTGTTCTTTTAAAATAAGATCTATTTGAAAATCAGGGCTAGAGGAGAGATCGATCTTGTATCTGCTCATTGACTCCCTAAATGGCAGGAAGGGCCATGTTGGTGCAGGGACCCAAGTATTGGGGGCATCTCCGGTTGCTTCCCCAGGTGCAACAGCAGGGAACTAGGTCAGGAGTGGAGCGGGTGGGGGGGGGGAGGGCAGGGCACGCTCTGGCACAGCAGGTATTGCTGCCCTCTGTGACACTGGCACCCCATTTGGGTGCCAGTTCAAATCCCGGCTGCTCCACTTCTGCCTCAGCTCCCTGCTAACGCGTGGGGAAAGGCAGCAGCAGATGGCTCAGGGAGACCCAGAAGCAGCTCTTGGCTCCTGGCTTCAGCCTGGCCAGCATTTGGGGAGTGAACTAGAGGGTGGAAGCTATTACTCTTTTTTTTTTTTTTTCCCTAAACTTTCAAATAAATAAATCCTGAAAAAGTGGAGTGGCCAGGACTTGAACCAGTGCCCATATAGGATGCCGATATTGCAGGTGGAAGCTTCACCGGCTACACCACAATGGCCTCCCAATTTATTCTTGTTTCAGGCAGCCAGCGCCTTCCATCCTGGATAAGCAAGGGCGGTACAGCCGTGGCTCTCTGGCCTGGCACCTGAGTGATCATGAGGACACGGATCAGAGAAACCCCAAACGCACCGCTCCTGCTAGGCGGAGCCAGTCTCTACCAGGAGCCCCTGGGCCGGCCAAGCTGCCAAAGGCACCGAAAGAGGAGGAGGTATGATCTTCTGTTTTCTGAGTCACGATAGAAAAAACATCAGGCTATTTTCGGAAAGATACGAATTGGTGCTGTTTAAAGTAATACCAGTGAGGGCCAGCGCTGTGGTGCAATGGGTTCAGCCACAGCCCGTGATGCTGGCACTCGGTGAGCGCCACTTCCAGTCCAGCTCCCTGCTAGTGAGCTGGGGAAAGCAGCAGCAGATGGCTCGAGTGCTTTGGCCCCTGCACCCACGTTTGTAGACCTGGAAGGAGTTCCACACTGCTGGCTTTGGCCTGGCCCAGCCCCTGCCCCTGCGTGCACTTGGGGAGTGAACCAGCGGATGAAGAGTCTACCTACCTTTCAAATAACTTAAATCTTTAGAACTTGTTTCTCAGAGAGGGAAATCTGCTCAGTCTTAGGTTAACTGTTTTTTTTAAAGATTTTATTTATTTATTTGAAAGTCAGAGAGAGGAGAGGCAGAGAGAGAGAGAGAGAGAGAGAGAGAGAGAGGTCTTCCATCCGATGGTTCACTCCCCAGATGGCCACAACGGCTGGAGCTGAGGCCATCCAAAGCCAGGAGTTTCTTCCGGGTTTCCCACACGGGTGCAAGGGCCCAAGGACTTTGGGTCATCTTCTACTGCTTTCCCAGGCCACAGCAGAGAGCTGGATGGGAAGTGGAGCAGCTGGGACTAGAACCAGTGCCCATATGGGATGCTGGCGCTTCAGGCAAGGGCATTAACCCACTGAGCCACAGCGCCGGCCCCAGGTTAATTGTTAATCTCATCTAAAACACCTTCCCTGCACTATCCAGACCACATGTTAGACCTCTTTATTTATTTGAAAGAGTTACAGAGAGGCAGAGAGAGGCCTTCCATCTGCTGGTTCACCCCTCAGACGGCTACAATGGCTGGAGATGAGCGATCTGAAGCCAGGAGCTTCCTCCAGGTCTCCCACATGGGTGCAGGGGCCCAAGGACTTGGGTTATCTTCCACTACTTTCCCAGGCCACAGCAGAGAGCTGGTTCAGAAATGGAGCAGCTGGGACCTGAACTGACACCCATATGGGATGCCAGCACTGCAGGCGGTGGCCTCACCTGCCACACCACAGCAGCGGCCCAAGAAATAAATCTTTGTTAACCACATGTGTGGCTGTGTGGCACAGCCAAGTGCACACAACAAATGCAGTTCTAGATACGAGGCACTGGACAGAACAGTGCAGGCACGGGGAAGTGAAGAGCAGAGGGCTGTGTAGGTGTGTGCGCACGTCTTCCTCAGCACCCGCTTCAGACATCACAGAAAACGTCCAAAGGTTTCATTTAATCAGGAAAGGAGTGTGCAGTGTTTACTGAGATTTCTCCCTTAGTCTTAGGTAAGGTAACTCAGTATGGCATCATATTGAAACATTGTCATTCCCTGAGAATGAGAACACACACACACACACACACACACACTCACACACACGGATCCCATCCAATTTAACCTAGTCTCATCTATGAGTAATTCAGAACAGACCAATAGTGTGCCCTAGTTGCACTAAATAAAAAGTAATATATTACAATATGAGGTTTAGTTGATAAATGCTGAGGTACTAGTGCATTAGCAAATCTAATGAAACAGGCAGGCTGTTTGCATCTATATACACTGCACGAATCAACAGTTAGAGATGGACAAGGGAGACTCAAGTGCCACACAGGGAGCTATCAGTAATGTAGTTCTCCAAAGGACAGATATTCTTGGTAAAGAGCAAGTGACTTTTTATTTATTTGAAAGGCAGAGTGACAAGCAGGAGGGAAGAATCTTCCAGCTGCTGATTCACTGCCCCAGCGGCTGCAGCGGCCGAATCCAGGAACCGAACTCCATCCCAGTCTCCCATGGGGGTGGCAGCAACCCGAGGATTCGGGGCGTGCTCCGCCTCCCTCCAGGCACACTAACAGGAAGCTGGTCTGAAGCAGAGTAGCCCCACTCAAATCGGCACTCAGATGCTGCTGTTGCAAGCAGCCCTCTGCACCACCATGCTGGGCACAAGCAACCAATTCTTGTGAAAATTCTCAAACTTCTGGAATAAAATCTCCCCCAATTTACACAACAGGTGCATTTATGGACAATTCAGCATATACTGAAATTGTATAAAAATACACTGTTCTTTTTATAAAGCAGAATTCATATTTTAACAAAGACTTATCTCTTGGGCCGCTGCTGTGGTGTGGCAGGTGAGGCCACCGCCTGCAGTGCTGGCATCCCATATGGGTGCCAGTTCAGGTCCCGGCTGCTCCATTTCTGAACCAGCTCTCTGCTGTGGCCTGGGAAAGTAGTGGAAGATAACCCAAGTCCTTGGGCCCCTGCACCCACATGGGAGACCTGGAGGAAGCTCCTGGCTTCAGATCACTCATCTCCAGCCACTGTAGCCGTCTGAGGGGTGAACCAGCAGATGGAAGGCCTCTCTCTGCCTCTCTGTAACTCTTTCAAATAAATAAAGAGGTCTTCCATCTGCTGGTTCACTCTCCAAATGGCTGCAACAGCTGGGGCTGGGCTAGGCCAAAGCCAGGAGCCAGGGGCTTCTTCCAGGTCTCCCACGTGAGTTCAGGGGCCCAAGGACTTGGGCCATCCTCTACTGCTTCTCCAGGCCACAGCAGAGAGCTGGATCAGAAATGAAGCAGCTGGGAGCTTAACCTGGTATGCCAAAACTCTGGCCCCCTGTAAAGCAGAATTAAATTCCTAGCATGGATCATGATAAATAAGCTGTTTCACCCCCATGAGTGTCCAGCAGACCCTTTGAAAGTCACACGGGAGCTGAGACAATTCTTCACCTCAAAGGGTGTCTGGTAACCAAACCACTCATGCATACAGTGAGCTTGCTGCAGCATGAACTGTCGGGAAGGAGACCTCTATGTTGAGTACGTCAAACAAGTAATTTCCAGCACCAGGAAAATGTAGAAGATCAATTCAAAAGGTTTATTGCACCAAATGCCACAGAGAAATGATCAAAGTAATACATGAGGAAGTTTTCAGTTTCCCATACATCGACACTGGTATCCATTCAACTGATCAAAAGTGAACAGCCTCATGCATTCTGTTCATGGGGCTTGAATAACAAATCCCAAATTTTCTCCATTTTCAAACAATCTCGCTTTCAAGATTTAGGGATGACCCAACTTTGAGATTTAAATTAACATTCGGGGGTGGGGAGCTGTTTGACTTATGCAAAAAAAATTATATGAAAATATTCTCTCCCCCAAAGCGCAATTAAAAAAAAAAAAACAAATGGTTCACATTAAGCAAGAAAAGCTAAAGACTTTTTCAATTTAATGGTGAAAGTATGCATGAACAAAATATTCCCCAAAGTACACATTAGTGAAAAACAGATATTTAAAAGAATTTGGGGGTCACTTCATATTTTTTTAAATGTACAACCAACTCTAGTTAAGAACCTAAAAAGCTACAGACTGAATTTTTATAAAATCTCAGGATCTAATTTTAAGAGCCCAAGCAATGGTTTAATATCATTTAGCAAGCAGGGATTTTTCCTCCCTCCAAAGGTTAATTTTGAAAAATATGGTTAAGTTTAAAAAGTTGCAATGTGTAAACAGCAGTTCCATGGGATGTGAAAAGATTATAGTTACTTTCATTAAAAAACAGCACACTTCAGAAAAATGGATTGAAGCCTGTACAAAAAGCTATTTAACACTGATAAAAAATAAAATACTTTGGAATTATGCACAAGTATGGAAGCTACATTTTAAACTTTTCATTGTCATGTTTCAAACGTACACAATTACCTTACATTCATATCACTTATCAATTTATGAAGAATAAAACTGCAGCATGCTAGAAGGAAGTCCATCACAGGAACAGTGCACACGTCTGCTCCGTCATGCCTCACTAGCGCGCTCAGCAAAGCAAGACGCGACACAAGTGACACTCAACAGGTGAGACTGAAGGGGCGAAGAAACCCTGAAGCTGGAATCCTGTCAACTGAGGTAGATTTCTTTAGGTTTTATGTTTTTCTCGAGGTGGGCACGGGAGCGGCTCGGATCCCTTTCTGGCTGAGCTGGGTGAGTGGGTGTGTCTCAACCATTCCGCGAGGGTGTTTCTTTTTCACGTTTGGAAAGAGGTTGTGTTTAAGACATTAATATTGAAAGGCGGGTACACAGCAGCAGCAGCAGCATTCCTGGTCTGGTTTTGTAGGCGACAGGCTCTGCCAGCACCCTGAGTGAGGCTGAGACAACCCCTGCACGTGACCCACCCGTGGTTTCCCATCAGCTGTTTCTCTGAGTTATGGAATAGTAGGGTGAGTAGTGGCTTCCAGGGGCTGGGGTAAGTGTTTTGTGTATGGAGTTTAGCATCAGCTGTGACTTAAAGCTCAATTTCACCCTCCACGGATCTGATCTTAAGCATGCCATCATGAACACATGAGAACTGAACTCGTTTTGTAGCGAGTTATTTTCTATGAACCCTGGAAGGGAGTGAATGAGGCAAGGTGCCCAAGCCGTGTAAACAGGAACAGGGAGCGCGGGTGAGAGGAATGCTTTGCACTGTGCAGATGGAGAAGCTGCAGCACCATCAGCTCTGACAACGCATTCGGGGCACGTCACGTGGTGTGAGGGAGGCTGGCGCCCTGAGCCACAGGCGCCCTCCGTTCTCTTTCTGTAATGAAACGGCAAACGATGCTGCACCGAGCTGCAGGACTCGGGATCCAGACTCAAGACAAAGAATGGACAACTTCAGTGTTACCCATCCATCTGTATTTTGCGTTGTTACAAAACAGAGGGAGAGGTTCTACTCCTGCGCCTCTCTGTGGGGAGCGCTGGTGCACCATTTCGAACAAACAATGAACTTGGACTTTTAAAAGAGCAGACACAAACTTAGGTAAGTTGTTGTCTAGGATCAGGATTCTTTTGCAGTAAGTTCTAACCCTAAACGGGAGGTTACTTTATATTAGATGCAAAGGATACAGGGGAAGGACTGGAAGTAGTCCACAGAACAGTAAAAGGGAATGGGAAATTGGTTATAGCTAAAAAGATGTTTGCTTTAGTAGATCAGGTCCTGTCTTTTAATACTCAGTTTCTTCAAAAAGGCTTTCACTGTACCTGCGGTCTGTCTCAAGGTCACTGCAGTTCTTTTTTACATACGTGAGCTGGGATAACAACTCTTCGCTCGTGACAGGTTTTACAGCATGGCAGCTCTGGAAACACGTTCTGAAAAGTACGTGGGGATCGGAAGGCACGCAGACAACAATGTAAAACCTCAGCTCACATGTGGGCTATTTTAACTATTGCAGTTCCGCCACCGGGAGAACTGTGCCTTTTAAAATGCAGTCGCTGTAGGACTAGAGGCGGCGGCGGCCTCGGCTGGAAGATAGCCACAGAAACATCCTATAGAAGTAACTTTGGTAAGTGGCCTCTCTCACAGGCTGCTCATCTTTCTACCGTGTGAGGACAGAACATGCGTGCGGTTCCAGGCTGTGTGCACTTGGCTGCTGTGGACTACATCGTGGTGGGACTCAGATGCTGCGAGTGATTCTTGGGTTTATTGCACCAACGATCCCTCTCCGGATTACCTGTGGCTACATTGGAAACAAGGTAAACTCCAAGGAGAAATGGAAACGGTGGGTCCCTAGAGCCCTCTTCGCAGTGGGCAATCCTCGGTCAGGTCTGTGTCAAGCAGCGGCTGCTGCACCGCCTGACTACAGACAGCACAGTACGCTTTCTTCTTGTCACCCTTTGCCAAAAGCGAACTCCAATCCGAAATCCGAAATCCGAAATCCTTGTGCTGAAGGCCTCCATCCCGGAACACTTTCCTCCTGGAATGTTAGGTGCACCGTCCGTCTCCCTCCTCCAGAGTCACGTGTCTTCACGCCGCCCAGACAGCACAAGGCGATCCGCACCCTCAGCCAGCTGCCCAGTGCAGCGCTCCTGTGTCCTCACTCGGAAAGGTCGCTCCGTTGATTCCCAGGCAGCACAGGGTGCCCAGCGCTCATGAGGATCTCAACTGTGGTTCCAAGTCTTCCAAGAAGCGTCTGCTTGAAAGCAGAAACACAGAACCAGACGGTGCAGTGACGGCTTCGGGGTGCTGCGGATGTCACCCGGAGCTTATTCCTTAAGCTGAGAAGTTGTATTTTTTTTCTTTTCCTTCCAAAGAAGAAAACTGTCCTGAGCTTTAGCTTATAAGAGTATTTGAGCCACGTAAGGAGAGTGAGTACTGGCAATAGCAGTCAACAGAGGCAGGTCGTTAGACTCAATCCTGAAAACGGAAGAGAGGTTCCTTTAAAATCCCAGGACCTTACAGGTACCGGGCTTGCTTCAACAGATGGAGAGACAGTAAACGGTTCCGTTCACTGCCCAGGAGGCAGAGGGAGACAGACGGAGGTGGGGTGGCGCACCCGAGTGGACTTGAGGCTGCCCTGCACCCCGCAGTCCCTGCCCCACCTCACTGTGCTGTGCTCACAGCTTTCCTCAACGCTCCCGAGTACTGACTGCATCCAGCTGCAAATCAGTGTTAGGAAACGCTGATGGTGGCGAGGTCTTCAAAACAGCTAGGGGATCTGTCCACAGGTCAGACAACTAGAACACTGTGCCCTAATGCTGAGCATCCGGCAGCAAAGCGACCCTGGCCATCGCCGTTTCAAGTGGACGTGGCGTAAAGCACCCATGGATACAACACTTAGGCAAGCAGCTAACTGCTCCCAGGTGGTGCGAGAACAAACAATGGGCGGTTGGGGTCTGTGGATTAGGACGTCCCAGGCCTTGCCCTCCAGTGGCAGCTGGCACTACCGAGTGGAGCTGTCTACTCCTCCCTCTGTACGGTGCCGCTGGCCCTGCCTGTGGGAAGAAGGGGCTGATCCTACCAACAATGTACCAGGAGACCTTATCAGTGGTAGACACCTGCACCAACCAGGACTAGGTAAAACTCTCACCCCTGCTACACCTAAAGGGGCAGGAAGGGGGAAATGACCAAAAACAAAGAAGTCCTAAGAAAACTGTTTGACGGGAAATGCTAAGAGCCGGCAATACCGTCAGGACAGCCAGGATGTCCTGGGTGTGAAAGAGGAACCGGCTGATGGGCATGTGAAGGCCCGTGTCTCACGTTAATACTCTGGGCAGCAGGCTCAACACAGAATGTAAAAGTCAACATTACTGACACCCAAACTCGCAGGCCGACTCCTTGCAGTCCAGAAGGGCCTACCGGCTCCTCCTCCAGGACGGGCACGTGCACACAGCCTGCTGCCAAATGTCCCACAGCATCCCACGGAAGCACTAGAAATGGCACACACAGTGGGATTACAGTTCTCTCTATTAAGTGTAAAGTGACCCGGGGAGAAGGCTAACAGTACCAGGAGCTGCAAGAAACGTGTTGTTTCTCAGGACACCGCAAAGGCGCACACTGAGGGAGCCCACCCCCTGGCTGGCTACCAGGACCTGCAGATGTAGGGTGGGGCCCACCCCTCACAGGGGCAGTGCGAGGGGCACCTGTCTCATAACTCACCCCAGTACAACACCTAGTTCTTTCACGTGGACGCGGGTGTGTCCCCGGAGATATTCAGAGAGCATCTTGCTCTTCAGGTACATCTCCTGTAGCCGGTCTTCAAGATGCATGACGCACTGCAAGCCAAGCACATTCAGAGTTAGATTCAACTATCTGCCAATATTCTACCTGTTAGATTGCTTAATACTGGAAAGGCACCGAATAGATTATCTAACAATGCATCTCAAGGGTCCAGGAAAACAAACCAAACCCAACATCTGTAGGAGGAAACAAACGATTAAAGAAGAGATAAACAAAATCAAAACAAAAAAAGCCACACAAAAGATCAATTCAATGAAGAGGTGTTTTTTTTTGTTTTTGTTTTTTTTTTTTAAATAAAACCGATACATTATTGGCCCAACTAACCAAAAACAAGGGGAAAATATCCAAATTAATCAAATCAGAATTGATACCACAAAGCATCAATAGGAGTTACTACAAACAGCTACACACCAACAAACTGGAAAATATAGAAGAAATAGATTTCTGAACTCATAGATTCTCCCAAAATTGAGTCATGAAGACAAAGAAAACCTAAAGACACCAACAACCGAAATGGAGACTGAATCAGCAATAAACACCCTTCCAACAGAAAAGCCCGGGACTGGATGGCTCCACTGCTAACCTGCACCAGGCCTGTAAAGAAAGATTAATTCCAATTCTTCCAAAGCTACTCAGCACAACCGAAGGGGAGGAGTCCTCCCAGACCTCTTCTATGAGGCTAGCGTCACCTTAATTCCAAATCCAGAAAAAGACAAAACATACAAGGAGGAGAAAGGCAGGGCCATCACTGAGGGGAGAAGAATGTGACACTTCTGCCAGTCTCCGCGTGGCCTGTGCCAATGCCAGCTCTTTTGCATCCAGGCAGGAAGAGCCAGGGGAGCTGCAGGACAAGATGTTGAAAAGAGGTAAGGCCTTGATGGGGACTTATAATAAAGCCACAGTCTGGCTGGGGAAAAAAATAGAACAAAGAGAACTACAGACCAATTTCCCTGATGAACAGATTCCAAAATTCTCAAAAAAATACTAATTGAATCCAACATCGTATCAGAAAGCTCATTCCCCCAGATCAACTGGTATTTATCCCTGGAATGCAGGGATGGTTCAACGTTCGCAAATCAATCGATGTCATACATCACATCGACAAACTGAAGAGCAAAAGCCACATGATTATCTCAATAGATGTAGAGAATACAACATCCTCTCATGATAAAAATCTTAAGCAAATCAGGTACAGAAGGAACATTCCTCAACATAATCAGGGTAATATATAACAAACCCACAACCAACATCATACCAAACGCAGAAAAAGTGGAAGCATTTCTACTAAGCTCTGAAACCAGACAAGGATGCCCACTCTCACCACTACTACTCAATATAGTTCTGGAAGTTTTAGTTAGAGCGATTAGAAAAGAAAAATCAAAGGGATAAAGATCAGAAAGGAGGAAATCAAATTATCCCTGTTTGCAGGTGACAATGATCCTGTGCACAGGGGACCCAAAAGACACCACTAAGAGACCACTGGAACTCATAGGAGTTTGGTAAAGTGGCAGGACACAAGACCAACACACACAAACCAGTAGCATTTATGTATATGAACAAGACCACAGTTGAGAAGGGACTTGTAGCTGTTGTGACTGGCACTGATTTTACAACAAAATTTGAATACCTTGGAATAAACTGTACCATGGAGGTGAAAGATCTCTACAATGAAAATTATAATTATAAAACGTTAAGGAAAGAAACAGAAGATCCCAAAAAATGAGAAACTCTTTGATGTTCATGGATTGAATATCATCAAAATATCTATACTACCAAAAGCAATTTACAGATTCAATGAAATCTTAATCAAAATACCAGATATGTCCTCCTCAGGTCTGCAAAGACCCTAAAATTCACATGGAATCACAAGGGACTTCGAATGGCTAAAGTAATCCTTACATTAAAAATAAAGCCGGAGGAACCTCAATACCAGATTTCAAGACATACTACAGGGCAGTAATAATCAAAACAGCCTCGTCCTGGCACAAGAATAGACATGTAGACCAATGGAACAGACTAGAGACCTAGAAATCAATCCACACATCTACAATCCAACTAACCTTTGACAAACAAGTGAAAATCACTCCCTGGAACAAGGACAGTGTCTTTGACAAATGGTGTTTCGAAAATTGGATCTCTATGCGGAAGCATGAAACAAGAACCATCATCGGGTCTCTATCTCTTTCCCTCTCTAACTCTGACATTCAAGCAAATAAATTTTAAACATTGAAAATTATTATTATTATTATTATTATATTATATATATTATTATTATTATATTATATATAATATATATATAATATATATATTATATATAATAATATATAATATAATATATAATATATATATTATATATATATTATATATTATATATATATTATATATATTATATAATAATATATATATTATATATAATATATATTATATATATATTATATATATAATATATATTATTATATATAATATATAATATATAATATATATAATATATATAATATATATAATAAAATTATTATTATTATATTATTATTATTATTAAAAATAAATTTTAAACATTGAAAGTATGTCATTGTAAAAATCAAAAGAAAATAAAGAGACAGAGAATAGGGTGGGAAGTATCATTATGCTTATAAAATTATAAATGTAAAGCAAATGAAATTTGTTCCCCTTATATAAATTAAAAAAAAAAACTTATTCTCTGCATACTTTATTTTTAAAAAAAGATTGATTTATGTGAAAGGTACAGTTACAGAGAAAGATCTTGTGTCTGCTGGTTCATTCCCCAAATGGCCACAATGGTCAAGGCTGGGCCAGACCAGAACCAGGAACTTCTTCCAGGTCTCCCAAATGCGTGCAGAGGCCCAAGGACTTGGGCCATCATCTGATGCTTTTCCCTAGTCACTAGTCAGGAGCAGGATCAGAAGTGGAGCAGCTAGGACTTGAACTGGCTCCCATATGGGATGCAGGCACTGCAGGTGGTAGCTTTACTCACTACGCAGGCTCCAATCTCATCTCTTACAAACAGAACTTATAAAATTACAAGCCATCCCCAACTCTCCCAACTGATAGGTTTGAAAACTTTTTGTGTGTGTGTGAAATAGTTTGCTTTTTCTAATGACTATTAAGATTTTCATATATATTGTTCTAGTCTTTTTAAAAAGGCATTTGTTTGGGGCCAGTGCTGTGGCACAGTGGGTAAAGCTGCTGCCTGCAGTGCTGGCATCCTATATGGGTGCCAGTTCCAGTCCTGGCTGCTCCATTTCCCACCCAGCTCCCTGCTAAAAGCCTGGGAAAGCAGCAGCAGATGGCCCGAGTGCTTGGGCCCCTGTGTCCATGTGGAAGACTTGGATGTAGCTCCTGCCTCCTGGACTCAGCTTGGCCCAGCTCCAGCTGTTGTGGCCACTTGTGGAGTGAACCAGCAGACAGAAGATTTCTCTCTGTGTGTGTCTGCCTCGCCTTAACTCTTCCAAATAAATAAGTCTTTAAACAAAAGAAGTATTTGTTTACATCGTTGAGAGGCACTTGTATACACAGTAAGCACAACTTCCTTTCACACTAACCATTTTGCACTAACCCTTTCCCATGTACTTTATTGATGTAGTGGTCATGACTAAATAATTCTCGAAGATGAGTTTATTATTCACTTAGTCACACAGCAATTTGCATTTTTTTTTTCCTAAGATCTCATATTATTTTGGTCCAAAACATTCCTGGGAGTAGAAGGACAGGAACAAGGTCACGGTGGACTTTTTTTTTTTTCCCCTTTAAGGAATGTGTATCTTAACTAGGTCTTTAGTAACAATTATGTTCAGGACATCCTTGCCCTTGGAACTGCGTCCAGCTTCATTTTTTAGACAACAGCAACCATCTGTCTCTTTCACCAGAGGCAAATGCTTGTGCCCTGGGCAGGCCGGGCAACCCAGGCATCTTCCCCAAGACACCTGATGGCTCTGGCAAGGATAACTGCATCAGGCGTCACCTTCGTCTAGACCATTAGGACTGTTGTTTTCAAGGTAAAAAAGATTGACAGATGCATTTGAAAATGCATTTTCCTGACTGCCTGGGCTGATCCATGACACGAAAGAGTATCTGTTAGAGATGTAATCTTTTCCCTTTTCCCATGGGTTGAAATCTTTAGTGCACTGGGTCGGTGGACGGAACACCAGGGCTAAGTGACTAAAGCAAGGTGGACCCCACCAGTTCTCATGGAAACGTTCCCCCAAGTCAACAGAGTTAAGGACTTCTATTAAGTTTTGGTTCCTTATGGAGTAAAATAAAAAGTTTTTAATAAGAGTATTATAAAATATTAAAAAGAACATTCACGTTGCATCGGATTCTTTGTTTTAAGATGGCTGATTTGCAGTGTTTTCACAGTCCACATGAAAAATGAATAATGCAAAGCAGCAAGAAAAAGGACTGTTCTACATGGCATGCATACGGACTGTGAGACCACAGTATCTGGATTTCTTTTCTTTATCCAGCAGAGCTGTGCTGGGTTTTTTCCCCTGCCCCCTTTCCAGCATTTTCTTTTTGAGATGGATTTCTTCAATTTCTAACTTCTGAAATTTTAAACAGCAACTTTGTCCCTTTGTACCACAGGATCTAATAACATTTGATCACATGTGCTCCAATTCAAATGAATTTTAAGAATTCTTAACTGGATGAAATTTTCTTTCATCTGGGTTTTGTCATGTTAAATAAGCCATTCCTGGTATGAAGTGGTTGAACATACTTCTGTCCAAATGAAGTATAACAAATTAACTGCTTTGATAACTAAGATGCCAAATGTGCTAAGAGCGATGTATTTTAGAATGAAATATAAAAGTTTGGTAAATACTGATAGTAAAAAACTAAGTAGTCTACCGTTTCTTCTTTCCCTTACAGAAAGAGAGAGGTTAGCCTTTAAATCTGCATCATCTGACCTGCTTCAAGAATGAGATATTTTGTACAAATGTGGAACGAAAAAGGAGGTCCCAATGACCCCGCAGACAGACATCCTGCAAGAGAACGCTTCTGGTTAAAGCCCAAATAAAGTCAGTCTTTACAACCATCAGTATTACTTCACGAGACTGTTACTATCACACTGATATGAGCACTCAGCAGGCAGCCACTAACAGCCAGCACTATTCCAAGTGCCTTCCGTTCCCACTTACCTTGCATAAGCATATGAAATAGTTTCTATCACCTCCCTGGCTTTGCAGGTAAGGAAATCCGAGGCTCTGGGACGGGTTTCTCTCGCACAGTAAGTGGCAGAGCCTGCACCTGACTTCAGGCTACTGGACTCTGAGGCCCGCACCAGCAGCAGTGGCCACTAACGAGCGCTGGCTTCAAAGCACCCTAACTGGCATGAGCTTTGGCAGCTTTCAGAGGTCCTGACAATACACTTGAGCAAGCTGAGGTTCACAGTCTCCCACCAGTGTCCGCTCGCACATCCAACCAGTGGCAAAGCCCAGACCTCGGCCAGTGGCCTTCCTGCCTTGCCACAACTCGGATGGCCACGGGATACCATCTCAGGGCACCTCCTTCCGAGCCCTGACGGCCTTGACTGTTTCTGGAGGCATGCGGCCCAAGTGTGGACTGGAGAGGAGGACGGCCGTGCTGGCCAGCAGTGCACGAGCACTCGGTTCCCCGTGTGGTTTGTGGAGGGTGCAGGGTGCGGCTGGACTGCAGACAGCAAGGCTGTGCGGAGCACACAGGCTCCTCGGCCACGGCCGCTGCCACACCTTCACTTTCTCGTCTACTTTTGAAACCTTTCTCCCGCCCTCTCTGAAGATACTTCCCTCTTCTCTCGGGCTCTCTGTCCACGCACACATTTGTTTCAAATAGTGTCCTGTGGACCCTAATTCTCATAGCTCAGGGGAGAGCCGCGGGCCGTTCTCTAGGAGTTTACATGTAAACTAACGTCATCAAGGTGATCTGCAAGTCCCCTTTGAAAAGGCACCATGCCATCCTCCACGCGTCCAGGACCTGAGAATCTGAAGTGCTCCACGTACCACACTCTCGTTTGCTGGACAGAGGAACCTCAGCCGCTCAGAACGTGGCCTGCTTAGCATCCACCCAAGACCAGGAGGGCCAGTGAGCTCTCCATTGCAGGACCTGAAATTCTCTTCCTGCCTCACCCCTGCCCCAGCCCTTGGCTGCTCTAGGCCTTGCTCAGAGATTTCATGCCTCACCCCTGCCCCAGCCCTTGGCTGCTCTAAGCCTTGCTCGGAGATTTTGGTGCCTCACCCCTGCCCCAGCCCTTGGCTGCTGTAGGCCTTGCTCAGAGATTTCATGCCTCACCCCTGCTCCCAGCCCTTGCTGCTCTAGGCCTTGCTCAGATTTCATGCCTCACCCCTGCCCCAGCCCTTGGCTGCTCTAGGCCTTGCTTGGAGATTTCATGCCTCACCCCTGCCCCAGCCCTTGGCTGCTGTAGGCCTTGCTCGGAGATTTCATGCCTCACCCCTGCCCCAGCCCTTGGCTGCTGTAGGCCTTGCTCGCAGATTTCATGCCTCACCCCTGCCCCAGCCCTCGGCTGCTGTAGGCCTTGCTCGCAGATTTCGGTGCCACTCCATGTTGTTTGCTTCCTAAAAAGGATTTTGCCACTGAAATCTACCCCGTTTGCTGGTTTCATGTTGCATGGACTGGTTTTACTTATCCCAACCTCCATTTTAAAACACATTTGAGTTTAAAACCGGAACCCTGTTCAAAGTCATCTTCAGCCACAGCCCTTGGTGACGTGGGGGCGGATACTTACGAAGTCAGCCGGGAGGTGAAGCTTGTAAAGCTGTAAAATGGACTGAAGTAAACTGGACACCTGACTCGAGACCAGGACGTCCTGGCCCAGCTTCGTGCTGTCCGTGACTTTGCGCTGGCTCGTGGCTACCTGGACGCTCCACTTATCCGTGTCCGCGATGATGCAGACGGCTTCAGCTATTGGCTCATCAAGCACTGGATGCTGAAAGAGAAGCACAGCATCCAGCCGGTCATGCCGCGGGTCACGGCGCCGCCAAGGGCCACCTAGCATGCTCAGTGTTTTTGGTTAGCATTCGACTGAAGGTAAAGAAGCTGATGGTGGGAGCCACAGAGACTTGGAGCTTAGTAACGGGGACTGGAATACAAGTGTCACTAAACGTTACCGTTAAAAAAAGAAATAGATAGAATTACATTTAATCCCCCCCACCTCCTCACAGCCAGGAAGAGAGATACGCTGTAAACATTGTTAAATGCCCACAGATACAGTGCCTGTGCCATGGCTCACCAGGCTAATCCTCTGCCTTGCGGTGCCGGCACACCAGGTTCTAGTCCCGGTCGGGGTGCCAGATTCTGTCCCGGTTGACCCTCTTCCAGGCCAGCTCTCTGCTGTGGCCCGGGAGTGCAGTGGAGGATGGCCCAAGTGCTTGGGCCCTGCACCCCATGGGAGACCAGGAGAAGCACCTGGCTCCTGCCTTCAGATCAGCGCAGTGCGCCGGCCACAGCGGCCATTGGAGGGTGAGCCAATGGCAAAGGAAGACCTTTCTCTCTGTCTCTCTGTCCACTCTGCCTATAAAAAAAAAAAAAAAAAAAAAAAAAAAAAAGCCCACAGATAAGGAAACCGACACACGCCTGCCCTCCCTACATTCCAAGATTTAAATGCGTTGCTTCTTGGCAGACTGCACGCTGTGTGTAAAACGGCAAAGATCAGAACAAGGTGGGGGATGCCACAGCCATGTCTCCAGCAACAAGGGACAGGAGGCAACTTGCTGCTCCCGTAAGTTATGGTTTTGCCACTCAGCAAGGTTTATTTAGTAACTGTGTGTGCCACACACATCAGCCTGAGGGGTGAATTTATTCACTGACAAAGTGTAAATTCTGAAAAACTGGACAGTGAGAGAGCAAGTTCACAACGAGTAAATGATATCATCCGGTAAATGCAGTAAATAGGGAAGCAGTTGAGGAAAAGGGACTTAAACATCTGATTTCTCAAAACTGACCAAAGCCTACCTGTGTCACCACCAGCACCGTCGGGCACGGGCGCTTACTGTGCAGCAGGGGTGGGGGTGGGGTGGCACGGCCAGATCTCATGGCCAACGTCCACGAGCACATTTTCTAGCCCTCATTTACCCAAAGGAAGCCACCACTGGTTATCTGTCACTCAATCCCTCTCGCTAACTGGTGGTGGCCCTTTGTCACTTTTGGCTTCTTACTCCAACTTCCCACAAATCGCCCACCCTGCTGTCCCTCTGGGATAAGGCCTGATGGGACTGCACGCAGGTCCTGACCTCCCCCTACCGAGAGGGGGACGCACACCTTCGTCAGGCCCATGAGCTGCTCCTTCCCTGGGATTTCCTGGGGGGAAGGCCACGGTGGGCTGGAGGCGGTTGGTACCACCATACCCCCCAGACGGCTGCTAGCACAAATGCCTACAGAGAGTTGTGGTTCCTGGATTTGCAGGGTACCCTTGTTTGGTGTCTGTGCCAAGCCTTGTTCTTTGTTTCATCAATTATATGAATTCCTGATATCTGTCCCATCAGATCCCTTCTGCTTAAGCTAACAAGAGTGGGTTTCTGCTAACTGCAGTTTAGAACCCAAAGATACACACCGTCTTGACATCAGACAACGGCCACCTGCAATTTTAACTCCGGTGCTCCACTGTGGGACGTAAACACCTGAACTGGTGTCTTCACCTCCAGGCCAGATGCCCAACCCATCAAGTGTGGTCTACTACTTAGCAAAGAAGTGGCAAGGCTGCAGAGAGAAATAAAAGAGGTACACTGCCAGGCTGTAAGAGTTAACTGTCATTAACAAGGGAGCCCGCGTGGCACAGCTGGCTAAGCCACTGCCTGTGATGCCAGCATCCCACACTGGCGTGCTGGTTCAAGTCCTGCCTGCTCCATTTCCCATCCAGTTCCTTGCTGATGAGTCTGGTAAGGCAGTGGAAGATGGCCCAAGCGCTTGGCCCCTGCCGCTCCCGTGAGGGACCTGGATGGAGCTCCTGACTTTGGCCTGACCCAGCCCAGCTGTTGTAGCCATCTGGGGTGTGAACCAGTGGATGGAAGATCAATCTCTCCTTCTCCTCCTCTTTCAAATAAATAAAAAGCTTTCTTAAATAAATAAAGGGCAGCCTACATAGCTTTTCACTCCTCACAGATGGGGAAGGAGTGACATGTGGCTGCATGGGGCCGTGCTGGCACCAACATTTTTTGCTATGCTATACCCAGGTGCGTGTGTGTGGACAAGACTTTCAGGGTTTCTCTTTTCCCCACTGGAAGGAATAGCAATGAGGCAAAGTCTAAAGGGGACACGACACCGCATGGCCCCGTAAACCACTGGAGCTGTCTCCCAAGGTTCTCATTCCGCAGACTTGCTAGGGTACCGAGGCCTTCTCCCGGGCACGACGACCTGCACGGCTGCTCGCTCGGGGTTTCGGGAGCTCTCCCGGCCCCTCCCCACACGCAGACACGCTCTCCCAGACACAGCTGAAGACACGGGGCCTCCTTGGTCTTCAAGGTTCCTGCTTAATCAGTGTCCTAAATTCACAGCGAGATGATGCTGACTTGCTATCATTGTGCCTTTTCCCCATGAACAAAGAACAATAGAAGTGGAAACATTTCAAAGGTGTGTATTTTGAGCACAAGCCGCTTCTCGCTCTGCCTTTTCCAGAAATTGACAGTGTGCTGTAACGCCACAGCACCGACCTCTCCCGTCCTACTGACCTTGCTTTGTCAGTGACGATGCGCCATCAGACACAGTGAGTTGACAGGGTCTCCACCTTTCACAATCATTATTAAACTGCACTGGATAATCTGGAACTCGGTCTTCTAAGTTCTCTCCCCGTCCCCTGCTCTGGGAGGGAAGAGTGTTTCACAAACCCACTTGCCCAACAGTCCACAGGCTACACACTGCACAGTACCACCACCAGCATAAAGAGCTTCATTTTAAGCCATCGCTGGGATAAGGACAATGAGGCTTACAAGGGAGGTGGTGGATGGAAGATTCCCTCGGAGTAAGCTCCAACAGAAGGTGGTAGATCTTGGTATGATAATGAAAAGGGACAGAGAAATTGGCTCAGTATTTTTTTAAAGTAATTAAATAGGTAAGAGAAATGTATAAAAAATTAACATGAAAAATAAGCACACGTCATTTTGAAGTCGCTGAAGCAAAGATGCAGAATGTGAGGGGCCCAGGCGTTGAGACAATGACAGCAAGCTGCCAGCCCATTCCTCTCACTGTAGTCTTTGTCCCCAGCAGAGCCGCTGGCATTTTGGAAAATGTTGCTAAAATGAAGCAGGTTAGAGACAAGCAAATGACAGAGGTGACAGGCATCCTGCACTCCCTAACAGCCTAGGATGGTTTGACCGTGAAGTGCGTAGGCTCCAGGAATCAGCAGAATATTTTCAGAAGATTACCTTTTAAAAACACTCCAAGACTTACACACTTGTAGGTCACTGCACACCTCACACACAGTTCCCTGAAGACATCCATGGGGTAATCCAACCAGTTGCAGAAGCTCCTTAACTGCTCAGCTGCTTGCTGAAGAAAGATACATTTTTTTTTTTTTTTTTGGACAGGCAGAGTGGACAGTGAGAGAGAGAGACAGAGAGAAAGGTCTTCCTTTGCCGTTGGTTCACCCTCAAATGGCCGCTGCGGCCAGCGCGCTGTGGCTGGCGCACTGAGGCCGGCGCACTGCGCTGATCCGATGGCAGGAGCCAGGTGCTTCTCTTGGTCTCCCATGGGGTGCAGGGCCCAAGCACTTGGGCCATCCTCCACTGCACTCCCTGGCCACAGCAGAGAGCTGGCCTGGAAGAGGGGCAACCGGGACAGAATCCGGTGCCCCGAGCGGACTAGAAAGAATACATTTTAAGGGAAGAAGAAAACAGAAGGAATTGCGGTCAAGGAAAAGAAATGGACGCAGGATAGAGATACAAGTACCAGCAACCACGTCCGGAAGAGCTCAGGGACCCCAGGGTCATGGTGGACTGGCCCCAGGGCGCTGATCAAGCCTTCAACATCTAAAGGGTCAGGGAGCTAAAGCTTAAGTTCTTGTGATTCTGGTGATTTCTGATCATCTTTCCAGGGGAAATTCAACCACGTCAGATAGAGAGCCGTTCAAACATGCTATGACTTGCCTTATCAGTCAGTCTCCTGAGCTTCTGCAATTTCAAGTGCTCTAAGATCCAGAAAGCCACATCTGGACTTGTCACAGGAGTATCCTCCTGCACACATCCTATGCCTGGAACTCAGTTTAAAGTTCCACCTAGGGACGGTCCGTTTAAGGCACAAGCAGAACTACAGTGAACACTGAATTCTATGTATGCTGCAGTGTTTATTTATTTATTTATTTTTTGACAGGCAGAGTGGACAGTGAGAGAGAGAGAGAGAGAGAAAGGTCTTCCTTTGCCGTTGGTTCACCCTCCAATGGCCGCCACGGCCTGCACGCTGCAGCTGGCACACTGCGCTGATCCGATGGCAGGAGCCAGGTGCTTCTCCTGGTCTCCCATGGGGTGCCCGGCCCAAGCACTTGGGCCATCCTCCACTGCACTCCCTGGCCACAGCAGAGAGCTGGCCTGGAAGAGGGGCAACTGGGACAGAATCCGGCACCCCGACTGGGACTAGAACCCGGTATGCCGGCGCTGCAAGGCGGAGGATTAGCCTGGTGAGCCGCGGGGCCGGCCTGCACTGTTTTTAATACTATTTCTTATTAGCCTATGCTAATGGTACAAGTTACTAAACAGTGAAACTTGTGAAGTCGGTTTTGTGAGATCCCAATCTGATCAAGCTCATGTGCACTTAAGGTGTGGGAGCACATGTGTGTGCACGCGCACACACACACACACACACACACACACCCCTCTTCTCCCACATGGAGCAGTACTTCTAAGAAATGCTCCAAAACGTAAGACTGAATGATTCAAACATCTATTGAAAATGGGATGCACCCACCTACTCTCGGGACTGGAGTTTAGGCCTTGGAACTGA